CAACAACAACATGAACAACAACAAGATGAACAATAACAACATGAACAACAACAAGATGAACAATAACAACAAAAACAACAACAACACGAACAACAACATGAACAACAACACCATGAACAACAACAAGATGAACAATAACAACACGAACAACAACAAGACAACCAACACCAGCAGCGGCACCGCCAGCAACAACAACAACAACAACAACAACAGCAACAGTAGCAGCGGCCAAAACGGCGGCACCACGGCCACGCCGCCACCCAAGAAAGAACTCAAAACCACACCACCTCCGGCGTCGGTCTCGCCCGTCGACTACAAGCCTCCCGTCCCGTCCCCGATACTCCACAGCTCAGGCGGGCCCCTCTCCGGGGTCAACCAGCCCCGGCGGGACAGCAACGACGTCTGGAACCCGGCGAACCCCATGTTCCAGCCGATGTCGGACTTGAGCAGCTGCATGCAGCGCCAGCACTACGGGCTGCCCAACGGCCAGTCGCAGTACGGGCAGCAGAACTATAACAGCTACCACCACTACGGCGCCAACATGGACTCGCCCTACTCACTCTCGGGCATGCAGATACCGGTCATGCCCGGCTCGCACCAGATGGGCAACGTCTCCTCACAGCACTACCAGATGTCCGGGTACGGGGCGCTTCCGTCGGCCAACACCCTTCCCCGCCCCAACACCCAGGCGCATTCCGACTGCGGCGACTACAAAGACTACGTCCGTTTGTTCTGAAGTCACGACGGCGTCAGATAGAATCTCGTGACGCCCAAGTCCTGACTCGGAAGCTAAAAAAAAAAAAAGAGAGAAAGAAATAAAAACGTGACTGCGGCGACTACAAAGACTACGTCCGTTTGTTCTGAAGGCACGACGGCGTCAGATAGAATCTCGTGACGCCCAAGTCCTGACTCGGAAGCTAAAAAAAAAAAAAAGAGAAGAAGAAATAAAAACGGTTCGCGGTACATGTCCGCAATGGCCAAGCCAATGGGAATCTACCAGCGCTGACGGTGAGCACTGACGGCCAGCATTGATGGCCAGCACTGATGGCCAGCATTGATGGCCAGCACTGACGGTGAGCACTGACGGCCAGCACTGACAGTCAGCACTGATGGCCAGCATTGACGGCCAGCGTTGACGGTGAGCACTGACGGCCAGCATTGAAGGCCAGCACTGACGGCTAGCACTTACGGCCAGCCCGAAGAGTCGATGAAAGCAAAACAATTTTTTTAACGTCACGTTTGGTAAGGAGTCGTCATCAACTGGAAGCAAGCAAGAACACCTCCGTTGATATCCCAGGCGATGACCTGAATTCTATAGACAATTTGAACGGCATTTGCAACCAGCAATTGTCTTATCTGTGTGACCTCATGATGGACCTTGTGTGATTAATGAATATGATGGTATTCAGCTTGATTTTTTTTTAAGGTTTGTGAGGGTCGGGGTTTTGTAAAGAGTGAGGAATAAGGTAAAGGTGTGTGGGTGGGGGTGGGGGTGGGGGGCAAATGATTAAGAGACTGAAGTACGGTGAGTGTTGTCTTTGAAATGACTGTCCAGGGTGACTGGCCATCTTACTTGTAAATTATTGTAACATAACGCTGTTCAAGAGATTCCTTGTTGTACCACATACTGGCTGTACTATCAAACTATAGTGACGCCTGTTATTCGCTATGATCATACGAATATAGTATAGACAATGTATGGCCATAAAGCTACCTTGTTGTACCACATCCATGACTGTGGCACAGAGGCGTAATTGTACCAGAGGCAAGACTCAGCCACAGAGACATAATTGCACCACAGGCCTCACTGAGCCACAGAGACATAACTTTATAACACAGACATAGCTATGCCGCATACATAATATGCACCACAGGGACGTGCTTGAACCACAGAGACATAATTGTACATACTATATTAATCTGCTATAACACTATAACATCCTTGTACCTCAGTGACATGAACGAGACCAGAAACCCGCCCCCCCGCGAACAATTTTACGACCAACAACGTCCATCAACTATTCACCAGTTACTCCACTGATCTGACCGGTAACCAAGACTCAAATTCACTAACGTACTTTTAAAACGTTCTAGTGGAAGAAATTGAAACATATCTCATGATCTCCTTTAAAAAAAGATTAATTTTTAAAAAAAAATTGTGCAAAGCTCAACACAGACACATTGAGAATATCACCATTAAAGAGCAGTCGTAGAAATGACAAAATTCCTCGCGTGTTAAGAATGTTGGCGCCAATTCGTTTGTAGTTTAACTTGTACGTAAGTCCTGTTGAAAGGGTCTCAGACCAGCCGACCCCCCCCCGCCACCCCCACAGACCGACCGACACCCCCCCCCTCACAGACCAGCCGATACCCTCCTCACAGACCAGCCAACACCTCTTCCCGACCAGCCGACCCCTCCCCCTCCCACATAATGAGTTATTGTAAATATGAAACCAACCATTTTTATGACTATCCCAAACATTTAGTTTTACATACAAGTTATGTATTCACACGTCTCTGACATTTGGAACAGTTAACACTGTCAGTTGGCGCAATTAATATACAATGATATATTCCCCACATGGACCCCACCCCCCTCCCACCCCCAAGTCAACAAGACATGTCCGTAACGAAATACGTGTACAATAATTGAAATACTCAGTGTGACGCTGGAGGAGGAGCTCTAGCTATTGATAGAGTGCATTTGACTTTCATTTCGTCTTATAGTTGACTAAATGAAATTGACTTTGACAGTTGACTTTTTGGAGGAAAATTTAGACACATTTAATCGGCATTGACTCGGACTGATCAGTTTGACTTTGAACAGATCATGAAACTAGACATAGACATTGACATCACGTCTCAGATCCAACATTAAGTCACGCGTCCACCGGGTTCGACTTGAACAATCCGCTACAGCAGACATACAACGGGTCATTTGCGACAGACAGCGACGGCACACACAAACAAGTCATGTGCCGGTAAGATTTGACTTGGACAGTGACAGCAGAAATCACACCAGCCATGTCCCTGATCAAATATGGACCAATGCGTTACCCTAGAATCTCGCTGCCGTATCTGGACACCGGAGCGGTGTGAGACGACGTATGGTGAGCGGATGAATTGCTGAAATTGCGAGTCAATATCATCGATGTCCTTATAAAGTAGATTGTATATACGTGAAGTATGGCTTTGTGAGCATGGTGATTACCTACAATGACAAACAATAATGCTATATCATCAATAAATATGTCTGTGTATCGTTTATGTATGTTTATTTTTTATCTGTTTCGAATAAACAATTTCCTACTATGCCTGTATATCAACACACCAAAATTTAAAGTGTTACCCAACGCTGGGTGGAGATTGACACATGTTGCTATAATTGATGTTTATCAATTTGCATCAAGCCATAGTGTTTAAAAAAATATCTAAAAAAACCAGCAACTATCCATCTGTTAAGCCAGTGCAAAATAATATAAAAAAAATCATAATTCATTTCAATTTTATGTAATACAATAGCCGCAAATGACTACCACTAAGACCACATGACCACAACATTCCCACAGCAATAGCCCAGGGACTCCAAAAGTCATTTAATCATTCCATAGTCATTCCATCCCACCAATGGGCTGTGATGGTTTCAACCATACCAAAAAAAAAACAAAAAAAAACAACTACACCCTCAGTTCCAGTCCCACCCTAACTTCACTAATAGCCCAGGGACCCCAAAAGTCATTTAATCATTCCATAGTCATTCCATCCCCCCAATGGGCTGGGATGGTTTCAACCATACCAAAAAAAAAACAAAAAAAAAACAACTACACCCTCAGTTCCAGTCCCACCCTGACTTCACTCGGCGCCGCCCCCCCCCCACTATTTGACCAACTCAAGCTCCCCATCCTTGCGATATAACTCTATTGCAAGTGCAGGTCAAACCTCTTTGGTTTCCGGGAAGACATTTGGGAAGACATTTGCGCTCTACGGTGTTTGACCATGTTTGTGTCCCCATATATTCCACCTACTGAGTTTGTATCACCGTGCTTGTGCCACAGTGTTTGTTTAGCCGTGTTTGTATCACTGAGTTTATATCACATGTATAACCTGCTAATGTGCAATAAATGACACCTATTTAAAGACGACCCCCGCGACAACAGCCAAAAAGACCATTCCATTCCATTCAATATATATATATTAACCGACGCTAACCATAAGTAACGCTTACGACACTTTACCTGACTCCAAGAACTGACACCACGCGTCTCCACAATTGTGCTGTTTGTAGATATAAAAAAAAAAAAATTAAAATTAACAGCTAACAGGGTTGCTGATTCTGATAAACAAACATTGGGTACCACTTCCACTTCCGGTATATTACGTCACGCAGAGGCAACGTTCTTTTGCGGACAAATTTATTCTGAAGCCAAAAAGTTTTAAAACATTTTATTCTCCTTCTGATGTTTTACAAATGTAAGACGCTGATTCAATCCGGCTTAGCGACTCTAATTATGACCACAAGGACCCCCACCCCCCCAAGCTGAAATCTTGTAGCTTTATAACCACGAGAATCCCTGTTCATACACAATGCCCGTTTATAGTGTTTTTTCTTTCATTATTTGTATTTTATCGTTAAAATACTAGTTAGCAAATGTCCGATTGGAATGGACACGAGCGTGCATGAGATTATTTTAGTTGTAACGGTGTGCTTTTTTTTTTAATGCACACCTTTGATGCGGGGATTCCCAACTCAGAATTGTATTTATGTACATGTTTTTAATTATTATGAACAAGTTGTCCATTTTGGAGAAATATATCTATGCTATTGTCTTCAATAAATGCAAGTATTGTATGCTCCCAGCTCGCGTCAGTTATTGCTTTGGTCCGTGGCTCGTTTTATACTGTCTGAACGTGATAGCAAGACAGCGATAACTGCCTTGTCCTCACTGCGACGCGCTGTCTTCGTTGTGACGTGTAGTCTTTATTGTGACGTGTTGTCTATATTGTGACGTGTTGTCTTTATTGTGACGTGTTGTCTTTATTGTGACGTGTTGTCTTTATTGTGACGTGTCGTCTTTATTGTGACGAGTCGTCTTTATTGTGACGTGTTGTCTTTATTGTGACGTGTTGTCTTTATTGTGACGTGTTGTCTTTATTGTGACGTGTTGTCTTTATTGTGACGTGTTGTCTTTATTGTGACGTGTTGTCTTTATTGTGACATGCTGAATGCAAGCTTTTGGAATCCAATTGTTTTTAATTTATTTACTTATCTTTTTTAAATAGTGAATGTCACTGTGGATTTGATATGTGACAGTGGAATATGATATGTGGCAGTGGATTTTAAACTACTCTTATTGAATACACGGAAAATCGATATAACTGCCTCGGTGTATTGTTTCGTCTTGACACAGAGATATATGACATGCTATATAGGTGTATAAAACGACATAGAGTTGTTACACGACATAGAGGTGTATAACATGACATGGAGGTGTATAACATGACATAGAGGCGCATAACATGACATAGATGTGTATAACATGACATAGAGGTGTATAACTTGACATTGAGGTGTATAGCATAACATAGAGGTGTTTAACATGCCATAGGGGTGTATAACATGACATAGAGGTGTATAACTTGACATAGAGGTGTATAGCATGACATAGAGGTGTATAACTTGACACAGAGGTGTATAGCATGACATAGAGGTGTCTAACATGACATAGAGGTCTATAA